CTTCTATCCCCTGCCGAGAGGAACTATTCCATCACCGAAAGAAAGTGTCTTGCTCTTGTTTGGGCTGTCGCTAAATTTTGCCCGTACCTCTTCGGCCGCAGTTTTACTGTTGTAACTGATCATCATGCACTCTGCTGGCCTTCCTCGCTCAAGGATCCCATGGGACGTCTCAGTCGTTGGTCTCTCCGCCTCCAAGAATACGCCTTCTCGGTCGTGTATAAATCTGGTCACCTCCATCAAGACGCCAACTGCCGTCACGGTATCCAGTGGATCTACCAGACGCCACAGAGCGAGCTACAGAGGCTTGCGTCTTATCAATATCAGACTTTCTTGATATCGCTTCTGAGCAACGCCGCGATCCGGATTTACTTCCCATCATAGAAAGCCTGAGTTCCGCTACTCCACCCACTTCTCTGAACTTGTATTTCCTTCATGAAGGTGTTCTCTACCGCCACAACATGCGCCCTAATGGTCCTGACCGCCTTCTCGTCGTGCCTTCCCATTTGCGTGTAGATGTTCTCCGACAGCTTCATGATGAACCTGCCGCTGGTCACCTGGGAGTCACCCGCACTTATGATCGCGTCCGGCGCCGTTTTTTCTAGCCACGCCTATATCGCTCTGTGCAAAAGTATGTCGCCAGCTGAGACCTTTGTCAATGCCGAAAACTACCAACATCGCTTCCAGCTGGCCTTCTTAACCCTATTGAGATCCCTGCTGAACCATTCTACCGCGTAGGGCTCGACCTTCTCGGGCCATTTCCCACTTTTGCATCCGGGAACAAATGGGTTGCCGTGGTGACCGACTACGCGACACGTTACGCGATCACCCGCGCTCTTCCAACCAGCTGCGCTACCGATGTCGCCGACTTAATACTGCATGACATCATATTGCATCACGGCGCTCCTCGACAGCTCGTTACTGACCAAGGCCGATACTTTTTATCTCGTGTCGTCCAGGATATCGTACGTTCCTGTTCCACGAACCACAAGTTCACAACGGCATACCAATCTCGCGTCGTTCAGGATATCGTACGTTCCTGTTCCACGAACCACAAGTTCACAATGGCATACCATCCACAAACTAATGGACTTACAGAGCACCTGAATTGCAATATCACGGACATGTTGTCAATGTATGTTTCTCCAGACCACCGTGACTGGGATGCAATGTTACCCTACGTCACCTTCGCTTACAGCTCCTCCAGACATGACACCGCAGGCTATTCCCCGTTCTACCTTCTTTATGGACGGGAACCCTCTCTGCCTCTTGATACACTCCTTCCCACTGGTTCAAGCTCCCCTGTCACATATGTCCGCGATGCCATAGAGCGAGCCGACGCAGCACGACAGATTGTCCGAGAACGACTCATACTTTCTCAAGCCTCTCGGAAAGAACGATACGATCGTCAACACCGCGAAGTTTCGTATGCACCAGGTTCTCTCGTACTCTTCTGGACCCCATGTCGTTACATCGGCCTCTCAGAAAAACTTTTATTCCGCTATGACGGACCATACAAAGTCCTGCGCAAGATCACCAACCTCGCCTACGAGATACAGCGAGTCGTCGGCGAAGCGCACTCAATGCCACCACCATCCACCGTTGTACACGTCGTAAGACTGAAGCCTTGTGTGTCACCCAACACTCCCCTTTCGTGACAAGCGCTGGGTCGGTGCTTTAACGCCGCGGGGTAGTGCCACAAGGCAGTAGTGGGATTGCGGCATAAAGCGGTAGAGGGTCCCTGCCTGAAAGAAAAGACTACGAGGTGGATAGAAACTGGCCTCAGCCCGCCAGTGTGCCAGGCATTGTCATCGCGTGTAATTGTCGTAAATATCTGCAAATATACGTTTCCTTGTAAGAATATTTTCCATAAGCTTACAGCGTATGCATATCAGTGACATTGGACGGTAGCTGGAAGGAGAGGATGATGGACCTTTCTTGAGAATTGATTGGAATGATCTTGCTGACCTTCCAGTCTCGTGGCACCACTCCAGATGACAGTGATTGCTGAAAAATATGAGACGGTATAACAGCAGAAAAATGTTTAGTGTTTATCAGAACTTTAGAATTTATGCAGTCAATTCCAGCTGATGACGTCACCTTTAATGACTCGATCACTTTAATGATACCATGAGGTTCGAAGATGATGGTAGGCTTAACAGGGAAATCAATAGTGGAAGCTCAAGGAAGTATATCTTCGCGTTCATCGGTAAAGACAGAACATTCCGCCATTAGCGACTGGCTTGTGCGTTTCCCGTCGACGAGCATGGTTGGGTGCAGCGATTGGCTTGCTCTCTGAAAGGATGATGGTACCAGTAGACCCTCTGCTCTGTCTCACTTGAGTGGTTGCGGTGCTTCGGACTTCGAGTGCGTGACGACGAACGCTGCCGTGCAGGGCGGTGTTAGTAGGAAAAGGCAAGGTTTTCACCTGCTGCAGCCAGCTGGTCAACTCTGTCCTCTAAACGACGAAACCGGTCTGCATGTTCGGACCTTCCCGCTGCCCCGCCGCGGTGGTCTAGTGGCTAAGGTACTCGGCTGCTGACCCGCAGGTCGCGGGTTCAAATCCCGGCAGCGGCGGCTGCATTTTCGATGGAGGCGGAAATGTCGTAGGCCCGTGTGCTCGGATTTGGGTGCACGTTAAAGAACCCCAGGTGGTCAAAATTTCCGGAGCCCTCCACTACGGCGTCTCTCATAATCATATAGTGGTTTTGGGACGCTAAACCCCACAAATCAATCAATCAAACCTTCCCGCTGCCGCATTAGACATTTTTGATGGTTCGGTGATTTCGATGATGCGGTCAGGGGCTTGAGCCAGATGCTCGAGGATCACGTCGTCCGAGCTGACGAGTGTCATCCGTGTTGACTGTGGTAGTCTTTGCAAAATTAACTCGCGAAGCAACGGTTATTGCTGCTTCTCTGACGCTTTTTGGCTGAGTAACTGGTGCATTCGGTGGAGTAGTTGCGAGGCACCCTGGTTGCCGAGCTCTTTATGAGACAGGAGTTGTTGCAGCCTGCTCTGTTCGGACACCTCAAGACGTTTCAGGACGGAGCTCTTGAGTTCGTCATAAGCCTTTTCACCTGGAGTGGAGGCGAGCACGTCGTCTACAGCATTAGTGATGTCAAGTAGCAGTGCCGCTACGACGTGGAAGTATTTAGTCTCGTGCAATGTGATGCGGCGAAGCTGAAAGCGGGCCTCGACTCGGCTGAACCAGACCTTGGAGTTTTGGGACCAGAAAAGAGGAAGATTTAACTCCAAGGCACTAGTTGAGGATGAGCTTGAATTGCCTGTTTCTTTTGTCATAGCTGCTGCTTTTCCAAACGTGCAGGTCACCACTTTGTAGCGCACTTGCCCCTAAGTAGGAACGCAAAGAACACACCTACATTTCTTGAAGCTTGGGACAAGACTGCTGTACTTGTCACGGAAAACGGGGCTTGAAGACGCGATAACACATAAAGGGGCATCGCCGCTTATCGTCTGTGGCACGCCGGAGATAACATCAGGTAGGTTAGCCGCGTATGCGCCATGCGCCTCGGCATATGACTTGGTGCGCGCACACAACAAAAAAATAATCACGGCCACCGTCACTCGCTCCCGCTACAACTCCACCACTGATATCTTGGCGATGGCGATGGCGCTAGGGGCTTTGTAGCAGCAAGTGAAAAGCAAGAGATAATGCAGCCTTTGAGATGTGCATTCTATAACTGAAAGTGCCAAACAATTGTCACAAAAGCTTTGGGAGCTCGAAGGCCCTGCTTTTCGGACCCTCTGCCATCATGTGCAAACAAACAAACAAGGAAGGGAATGCGCACATTGTGACGAGGTCGCTAAGTCACTTCGCATTCATGTGATTTTGGTGCCCAACTATCAGCTTCTCTGAAATCACGGCAGATCACACATCTGGTGCCGGTTCAGTCACAGACGGTGAACTACCAGCGAATTACATCATGTTATAGTCACCTGCACGTGAGGAAGGATTGAAACTTGTTTGAATGCGACGAAAAAATTATCAATCTTTGTCAAAATAAATTCACTTTCTGGGCTTCCGCACGGTGCAGCGTTCGATACATCATTCATAGGGGTATAGTGCACCACGACAAGGACACAAAAAAGAGACACACTAACTTGCAACTAATGTTTTATTTGTGATCACACAGGCTATTTATACAATAACAGTAGATCGATAGCAATAGAATGCCAACCAACTAGCTCGGCAACGTGCCTTATCGATACATAGGATGTTACGCTCTGTGGAAGTTCGATATACGTGTGCAACAGTCATGCATGGAAAATTCAACGGGATTTATCAACCATTCGATATAGCAAATAATTCTATATATTCAAGTTTGATATACCCGGGATTGATTGTCTCTAGATCAAGGAAACTCGTGTAGATTAATTGTTCAAGATGCGCATGCGAGTTACTTCATTTTCTTACTCATATTACGAGTCGTACAGTCGTACAGCTGAATCCCTTTATGAAAGACATGCACCGAAGAAACAACTTGTATATAAAGGAAGTCTTTTTATATGGAGTTTCTCCTATATGCAGGGTACTGCGTTTACATTTTATTAGGAACCCCTGTTTCAATGTAGGTACTATCTTCGTCAAATGACACATAAACAGCGGCAAGCCTTCATGATGGTATTGTCCGCGCCGCCCAGTTTTCACCATTGACAGGCGCGCGCATCCTGTTTGGCAGCTCTGTACATATATGCGAGCGTGCCATATATGTTCATTGCCATAAGTAAACGCTGCGCTGTATACAATCTCGAAGGCTTGCCGCTTTTCGCGTTTCATTTGACGCAGATAGTACCTAGGTGTCTCTTATAGACATTTGTCTCCCTATGGTGTTTTTTTATAAAGGAGTTGTACAGTGTAATTACCATACGTTATAAACTTTCATGATTCTAGTATCTTGATTTATTTGCTGCTTCAATAAATGCCTTTATCCATCTTCTGCTCACTTCAAAGAGTGTGAGGTGGCAGTGTGCATGTATGCAGGGGACATGATGACCCTGCTGATGAAGAAAGACACCCTGTCAGAAGAGTGCACGCAATTCTACATAGCCGAGACAGCGCTGGCCATCGACTCCATCCACAAGCTGGGCTTCATCCACCGAGACATCAAACCAGACAACTTGCTGCTGGATGCCAGGGTAAGCCACAGAGGGAAAGGGTTTCACAGTTGCTGCGCGAGCGGGGGTGCTTGCAGCTTTTAGGGAGGACAAATCTTTACCTAGCAACTAGCATGGTTCCTGTGTGAGGCATTGTTCTTTTAAATAATGACGCAGTCGCACTACTCCGCAAGGCCTCAGCAGTATGAACCCTAAAGGGCTGGCTGCACAAGATATTCCTGTAGTGTCGAACTAGCATGATAGTCATGAATGAAGAAAAACGGGAATCTATGGAGATGAGTTTGTGCGAGGCTTGCACTATTAGTGGTGGACATGACACTCTGTACAAACCGTGCTATGACACAACCATCACAAGAAAGAAAACGTCACCCCATAGCAAATGAATCGCTGTTGAGATATGTTTGCGAAAGGCTTACGAACTACGAAGCGACTGGCACAGGACGCGACATTCTCCACTACCGTCGCTCACAAAGACTCTACAGTCGAGTTTCTTGACTCTTCAATACGGCGCAGAGATGACAATCGAGGCAGGTCGTCAACAAACATGGGTTTATTGACCCAAAATACAGCACAGTGCGACAATCACGGGCTTGTAAATTAGCAGGGAAGCTCCGAAAGACGGATCGAGTACACTATCCCGCGGTGCCACGGCTACCACCGCTGAAGCTTATGTACGAGAAGTTGCCCGCAAAGGCAGAGCATGTCTTCCTCCGTTGAAAGCGTGGCAGCATCCCTCAAGCGCTTGAGTGCCAGGCAGTAGCAAGCCCACGGGAGAAGGGGTTGTCACTTGCAACCAGTGATAGGCGAAGTGCAGTGTGATGAGTGCTTATACAGTGTGTGCCAACATTATGGGGGCCAGAAGGGGAGGTGGTAGTAACAGCGGCCATGGGGGGCTCCAGCATATCATGTCAGCATACTAAGCTGCGACTGCCGTCGCAGCTTAGATCGACCGGCCGCGGCGGATACCCTGCTGCCGAGCTTCCAGGCACGCGGCGATCGAGATGGTAGGAACCTCCAGAGCTTTCGAACAATGAATTTTGACGTGATAACGTTTAAGAGCTCATTTGGCAGATATTCCAATGTCGGTGTCGATGTTGGAGTCGGCGTCGGCGCTTGTGCGCAAAAAATGTTCGTATTGTGGGTGAACAAAAAAATCGAGAAAGACGCAAGTAAAATTAATGATAATACTTTCTGAGTCGTGGTGAGGGTTGAATCTGGGTCATTTGTGTGGCAAGTAGGTGTTCTGCCATACAGCCACGCGCCTGCTTGGGAATGCAGTAAAAATAACGTTCACGCTTTGCAAACACACGCGTCCTGTACATGTCCAGCTTTAAAATGCAACATGTAATGCAGTCGAACACGGATATATTGAACTCGAAGGGAATCGCAAATTATTTCGATATATAAAAAATTCGATATAAAAAAATACAGGCCTCGAGAGCTTACCTGTAGCGGACCATCACCTGTGATATGGCCATTCAAGAATGACAACTAATCTGCACACACGCTGTAACAGATGGATTTATTTGCATGAAAAAAAAATTGCTTATCTTGGCCTGCTACTTTGTTTTTGAAATTAAGTTGAAGATGCTAGTCTTGATCTTATCAAGGCTGTCTAGGTGCAACAGCCCAATTCCCTCCAAGGGCCGATAAAACGGCGAATGATGCGAACGCTGCCGCCACTTCAGCGGCGGAGTATGCATTTGAAGCCAGTGCCTTGTTCGAACGATCCTCCTCGTCACATGAGCTGTCGGCCTGGGCATTGTAGTCAGCTTTCACGAAATAGTCTGCAGACACTTCGCGTGGAACTGCTGCCGGGAAGCGGGACGACAACTCCCAAAATGTGTTGTCTATGTGCTCGTCGTCACCGTTTTCACCAGTTTCCACAAGTTCCGCCATCTTGAAGCCTGCCTTGCAGAAGCAATTGATCACTGTGTCCATCCTCACGTCTCGCCAGGCGTTGAAGATCTCCACGAGAGAAAACTTCATGGAGATTTCTGGCCACTCCGCCATCCACTGCTGGATGTCCGTCCTGGCTGCTAACAGCTTCGCTTTTGCAAGAAATGGTTGTGCCAACAATGTAGTAGCCCTGCTTAAATCCGTGAAGCCACCCGCTTTTGTCAGCGAAGTTCTCTTCACCGAGTGCAGCGGCAAACCATTTGGCCTTGGCCATCAGCAACAGGCCGTCCGCTGAATTGTTCTTCACGCACACTTCTAAAGACCAGGCCTCGAGTGCCTTTTCTACATTCCCGTGAACATGAAATGCTCCTGACATTTGCTGCTTCGCCGCCTTTGCCTCGATATCTTTGTTCTTCAACAACGTACTCAGAGTGCTCCGTGGTATTCCGAAGTCATCCGCGACGGTCGAACATTTCTCGCCTGCCTCAACATGCTGAATAGCCTTAAACTTCGTCGTAAAGTCAAAGGTCTTGCGCTCCTTGACGCTGCCCATAGCTACACGAGATGTCGACAATTCAAGGAGTCAGCAGCGGCTTTGCACATCTTGCACGCAAAAGAGGAATGTTGCACATGCGGTCGTACGTAGGCAATGCGACCAACAAAGTGCTCGCGAGGCGATGGTGCGAGCTGTGATTGACTGTTCAGAACTCGCAGAACAGCTACAAAAAAAAGGCGAAAGGAAGAGGACACCGGCTTCTTCATTCCTGCTCTGCGAGCCGACGGGCATGCGGAGAAAGCATGAGAGAAAGAGAGAGAAAGGGAAACAAAAAAGAAAAAAAAGCCGTTCCACTAGTTAGAGACTGCGTAGACCGAGCCCTCTCACCCTTACTTTTTTTTTTTTCGAGCGTTTCAGATTTTGGCGAAAGCGTGGTGCTGCGCGGCGGTCGCCGGGTGCTGGGAGTGTCAAAATAGACCTTCCAACTTGTGCTCAGAGCCGCGCTTCCACGGACATCGTGGGGCACTGCGAGTACCGGAGCGCACCTCTGAGCTCGCCCGACCGTGTTCGGTATATTGGAACGCGGGTAAAAATACTGTTTGATATAAACATGCGAATTTCTATATTTTTATAAAGGAATTTCAAGAAGATAATGTACGAGTTCGATATACTCGAAAATTCAGTATATTTGGGTTTGATATATCCGCGTTCGACTGTATCACAGTAATACTGCGTGGTGCAAGTGTGCATTGCCATTGTCTGTCAGAACATCTGATTATCATAAGGACTTTGTGGCCTGTAGCCGGTTACCCATTACAAAAGGCATACTCATTACTGCGCATATTCTCTTAAGCACACCTAGTATATATAGCAAGTTCGAGATGATTTCACGCGCATAATTGCTCTTTGTTTAAAGCATGCTACTCATTACACAGAATGCAGCCAGATGCGAAAGCTTCACTGACACAAATAATTTTCAACTTTAAGGATTACATAGTAGTAATATACAATTCGAACTTCTAACATTAGACCATACAATAAAAAATAATCACGAAGTAGTTGAAGTCAGGGTCAGGATATTGCTATTGCATTCAACTCTTAAAGGCAAAGCTTAAAGACCCTGCAATTTTTTAATGTTAAATCTGGCGAGGCATTTCAATAGGTGCAGTAAACTTTGCACAGAATTCAGTGAGGCCAAAACAATGAGCTATTCTACTGCCACGCAAACATAGGAGGCAGCATACTTTGTGATTACACTGTGTGTTAATTTATATGTGCTGTCTCAACATGGGTGCAAGAGTCAGTAAAGGCTTTTAATTACAAAACGACATGATGTGCGTGAATCGTTTAGATACTATGCTGCTTTTAGGAGCAGTGTACCATTTTACTAATTTTGCTGTTGTTTACTCTATGCCTGTCAGAGGTTTCATATTTGGAATTTTCTTCATCTCGAGTGACACAGACGGCGTGCAAAGGCTTGACAGGGGGTCTGGCGACCGGGAAAACCGGGAAAACCTGGAAATGTCAGGGAATTTTTAGCCACCGGGAAAAGTCAGGGAATTGTCAGGGAATTTGTCAATCAAGCGAGACAAGTCAGGGAAAACTGTCTTGGGGCCTGCCCACACTACTAATGACTCGCACAGCCGGTCGCTTTGGGCGAAACACTAGAGTCAGGGAAATAAAATTTACATAGAAGGACGATAGCAGGTGTTTAAATTCCACGCTCACTCTGCTTTTTTTTTATGTAGGGAATCTTGAAGGCGATGCATTTTGGTAGGCAATCTTGGAGGCGATGCATTTTGGTAGCCAATATTGAAGGCTATGCTTTCTTACGACGTCCAGAGCCAGAATTACGTAATCGAAGTGGAACACGGCAGGTTTTCGGTGTCACCTATTTTTGCGCCATCGTTTGCACGCACTGACCTCTACTAAAATTAGTTTGTGCGTTCTGGCTGCGGAGGCAGGGTAACGTAGCATATCGAGCCGAGCCACGACAATCCACACGCAATAAATCCAGCATGGCGACGTCCCTTTGTTGTACAGTGCGGCTAGGCTCTACTACGACTGAAAATGTGTGAATTGTGAGCTTTGCGTTCTCGCGGACGTTTTCCCGGAGTTCCTGCATAGCGCGAATTGTGGTGTGCGACGTTGTCCTCGACTAAGTGCTTCTGTGATTTGAAGTAAACATATCCGTATATTTCTGTGAAGGCATATTCCGGAGAGAAGAAATCCATCGGACCTGCAGCATTTCAGACGCGATCATCAGTGTCGCGCGCTGCTTATCAGTGCTGCGTTTCGGTGTCGCGCGCTGCAAAATATTTTTTCATCGAAGATGTCAGGAGGCAAGAAGTGTTCCTTTAATTCGGACTGGACGAACCCAAGTGTCTCCGACTATGCAAGTTGGATTAGGCCTGTGGAAAATGATCCGCACAAAGCCATGTGTACAGTTTGCCAAAAAACGTTTTTGCTGAGCAACATACAGAGCTGTTTCAAGTCATGCCTCTAGCAAGAAGCACATTGCTGGATTGAATTTTCTCAAAAGTGCTTCCCAGCCAAAGGTATTGTCATTTTTTAAAAGCCCGATGGACGCCTTGCCTAGCAGTAGCGCTGGATCTGCGCCTGCTGC